ATTTTACTCTACTTCTTATCTAATGTATTCAATTTTTTGTTTAAAAATTGAAATCTTAATGAATAATAGTTAAAAATAGTAATAATTATATTAATAAAATCTTTTATATTTGTATCTATATATATGTATTTTTTGCATATATTACATTGCGATGTAACGACGTAACGTAATTTGTTATTTATATTTTAAAGGGGCTTGACAAAAAGACTGAGTTTGCTTTCTTTCTACCCCAGCCGTACATTCACATTTTACAATAAATAATTTTGTAAATTCTTTTTCATGGTGAAATAAAAATTTAATATAATAATCACAATGATGCCAATTAGTCACTTAGATTCTAATTAAAAAACAAAAATAATTCATTACCATGGTAATTAATTATTTTTTTCTTTAGTATGCATGTTTGACATATCCAAACCTTGCAATTTGAATGTTTACACTGGTATCATTCCATATTTTAATTTGCTGAAGCTTTGCCTAAAACTTTTAGGCACTTTTTACATATAAATTGGTTTGCAGCTAATATTTTTGTTGGACTTGTTGCTTAGTTATTTGCTGTTCGCTATTAGAGCTAAGCTTACTTGTTTCTTAGCTTGCTTGGCTACTTTTGTTGGTGTAGATTCAGAGGGCAGTGGCTGAAGTAGTGTAGTTCCTGGTGCTAGTATTAGTGATGACATTATCATAGATTCTAATTGCTGAGATGATGAAGCCTTAGGTTCAGATGACGGTGTTTCAAACGTTTTAGCAATTTTCAACTTTTACTGATTGATTTTATTGATGTCAAAATTGATGGATTTTTTCATTGTTGCCAATTAATCTCAACGTTTGTTTTGCACCACGCAAACTATATTTTGTTTACCTTGATCACCAAAAAAGCCAATTTCATCCAAACTCTTTAAATGACAGAGGTGTTTTCGTTTATACCTGCTACGTTTAATTCTCTTTACAGTGTGTTGAAACACTTTGCTATTACTTCTTGCATGCAAGAAGCGGATCTGAATGATGAAATATTGCCTATGGCTCTGATGCTCAACCTATGATATTACCGGTTTATGAAAAGATTATAGCATCTCTTTCTGTTGTACCATTAGGAAACAAATGAGACTGGCCTCGGTGTTGTAAATAGCCGGTAACTAATGTGATGACTTTATTGTAAGTTCTACCAAAGCCCCAATCGAATAACTTGATGAGCGTATCTTGGGGTGAGCAAAACCGGATATTCGATCCGATTTTTTGAAATCAGATTCCGATTTAACCAAACCGGAACCGATGTCCGGTTTTTCTTACCAATAGTTAAAATTTCTGAGTTGGAAGTTTTAATTAGCGATGATTTTAATTAGTCTATTTGGGATTACCTGTTGTGCTCATCCATATTTGGAAGTTGTAACTATGAATTTTAAACCGGATATCGGATCCGGTTCGGTTAAATCCGAATTCGATTTCAAAAAACCGGATCAGATATCCGTTTTTGCTCACCCCAATGCGTATCTACTAAAACTAATTCAAGCTGTTTTGATAATCTCGTGCATGAACCACTGCCAATTGTTTTACCTATGGCGTGGACAAACCTGTGAAGAGTTGCTACTGGTATACTGAATGATTTAGAAGATTTGCAAAGTGAAAATTCACCACTTTGTACTTAACCACCTTAAGCGCAACTTGCTTTTTGCAAGTTGCGCTTACGGTGGTTAAATACAAGCAATCTACAATATATAATATATGTTTTTTTTTAATTAATTACACCAAGCAATCTTAGTTACACAAACATTGCTTGGTGTAGAACCAAGAAAAGCAAATTTTCTTGGTTCTACACCAAAAAAAAAAACTCTTTAATTTGCAAAAACATGCAATCAAAGTTATATCCAATCAAAGCCTCTACACACCCTGCCTATATTTATTTACTAAATTAAATATACTAATCATCTTCCGAATAAATATTTATCATCTTCTAATTTTTAAGTTCAAAATTAATAAAAGTATTTTTTCAAGAACTTTCAATCCGTATAAATACTTATATAAAACCTAAAAGTTGTTTTGTTGCAACTGAGTTTTAAATTCGAATTAGAGGACCAAAGGCATGCAATAAAATTCTTACAACTGAACTTAAAACTCTTACAATGTTAAAATAAGGCTAAACTTAGACAGTTGTTACTAAATAATGATCTGCCACAAAACTTTCTGAAGTTGCAATATACTCTTATGATGATCTATCATATAAATAAAAAGTATAAATGCACTTAGTGACTTTGTAAATTAATTTATGTCTTTATTGGATATGTGTTGTTATTTTTGATCCTTAGACTTTTGTTTTGTGTTATTTTATATAAATAACGGAATTTTGTATTTTTAAATAAAACTTTCTATTTACTGAATATATCAAGGGGCTATAAGACATATCAGTTTTCAATTCGCCCCTGCTACCTATATATCTTGTTAGTCATATATTTAAACGACAAAAGAAACAAATTAATTAAAAGAAGGACAAAATGTACATATTCACGAGGTTATTATATAATTCTGTGATAAACAAATAAAAACAAAATTTATAGAATTTTCTTTTTCTTTTGCTGTTCCATTTATCCAATGATTTAAAAACATCTGATGATTTATTAAAGACGCTGTTTAAAAATAAGTCAATTGAATTTGTATTTATACTTCTATCATGGTGAAATTTTAAAGTTACATGAGTGTAAATGCTATCATTTAAACCTGGAAACCTTATAACTTTTTCATCTAAGTGGATCACTGTAATGTCAAACAGGCAATCAGCTACTTCAAAAAACTGTTTATCCTTTTAATAACAAATTTAATGGCCGAAACTTTCCTGTTTTTTGATAGTTCCCCCAATTTCATCATGGGGTCATGCCTCGCCATAACTCCAAATCAGAGAAATACCGAAAGATAAATTGAGATCGCAACTGACTGGCACATCCATCACTCCAGAAATGGAAAGTCAAAACTGATAAATCTATATCCTTGACTATGCTATTAAGCCAATTAGCAAATTTACCATTTTGAACTGTAATACTTTTATGAAAACAACAAGTTGCTTTAATATGGTAAAATAATTATGTCCAAAATTTACAATCTAGATCTCGTAGAGTTGTTTATTTTCGCAGTTTTTAAAAATCAACACTAATTATTACTTCATCTTCTTTGAGATTTGCCTTCAGCCATTCAACTTAAAAATTGACAGTAAATATTATTTTTATGCATTCTCATTTGAAAAAAGCATTGCACCTTCTTCACAATGAATTTTCTCCATGAATTTTGCCAACTTTTTTAAGATTATTCAACATTAATATGGTAAAATATCAACTTTTTTGTATTTTTGACACAAGTTATTACAGTTCTTACTGGATATTTTTTACATGGATATAAAAAGTTATTACAGTTTTTACTGGATATATTTTATGCATATGATTTGAAAGAGCATTTTTCATTCATTCACCAAGTTTCACAAGATCCAGTTGTTCAGTTGGCAGATTTTTAATAACTCCATTTTTTGTTTTGTTTTGATGAAATGGTTTTTACTGACTGTAGCCATTTGTTGTTTGTTGGCCATTTCAACAGGTTTCACTTTGACAATCATCTTATATTTTACTTAGCGTAATTAGTAGGTTATTAGTAAATTTAATGACATTTTTTTGTTAAGTAATTGAACAAATTCCCTGCATGCAAAAAGCATATAATGCTTATAATTTTTTCTGCTTAGGGAACAATAGCTTATAAGGCTTATATCTGGGGAACAATAGTCGGCCAAGCAGCACTCCTTCTTTCCTTTTGTTCCCTGTATTAACGCACAAATAAAATTCAAGGATATTGTTTATCGTTATTTTGGTGATACCCTTGATGACAGCTATGCCGAAAAAATTGAGTAATTCAGAGTCTCTTATATACAACTTTAGGACATCACCATCACTCCCAAAGTTTATGATGTCATCAACCATGTTCTACAATTTAATGTTCCATTAGCTCTTTGGCAATTTATTCAGAGCAAACAACTGAATCAATCCATTATCTTTTTAGTACCGATTGAAAAAATACAAGAGACCAAGCAACCACCCAGAGTATGAAGACAGGGTGCAAAGATGCATCATAGACTTTAGCTGCGAAAAATTTGATTAGGAATATTACAAAGTTTTTCTTAGAAAAAGACAATTAGAATTGAAACTTTACTTTGTCAGAATTTAAGAAAATTATCATTTACCAGTGAATTACTGCATAAATATTTTTGTTATGTTTTTGGGATGAAAAATGGATGATTCTTGAAACCGACTTTGTTAGTTGCTTATCAAATAAGTATTTAATGCAATTTTATAAAAAATTTAAAAATAGATTTTCTTACACGGGCGATGTAGCTATTTTTTGGTACATATATCTAAGTAACCACCAATGTTTGCTCAATTATATCCCCAAAGGATTTTTCTGGGTCATGACATCAAGCAATATTTCATTTTTTTACAACAGTGAGGAATTTATGGCATGCCACAAATGCAGGAAAATTTGTAAATCAGCTTTTTTAAAATGATTTGTTATTACCTAGTTTTCTATTTCAATTTAAAATAAACGCAGATTTTTTAAATGAAAAATTTATATTTTAAGGGGCACAAGACTGACTGGCATAGAAAACCCTGTGGGCGGGGGTAATTCGTCCGAGCCCCCATCCCCACTCCTAATATGCGTTCTTAATATATTTATATATTTTACCCAATAGGCCTGCGCATAATAAACATTGATGTAATAAGTCATTTTACGGTGTGCTTACAGACATCAAGTGGATGTTTATTGACCGATTGGAACATTTTCAAGTTTATTTTATTTATAGGGCAACACAGACCCAATGAAGTACAACAATGTCAATTTTATGCAAGTATAAAATATATGGATAGCTTCTTTAAATTTTTAAAATTGGCTTGGCAGCAAGGCATCGGGCCGTCTCTATGTGTTATCTCGGTGATGATAAAAAATTAATTTGATAGTTAGAAAAGAAATCAACATTTTATGAAAAAATCATTTTTTTATAAACTTTTTAAATTGTAATATTTAATAACAAATAATAATCATTATTGTAAAAACATTAAACTCCGAAGCTCATACTAATTATTTAACAAAAAATCAATATGGGGGAAGTGATTTCCACATGAGTTTTCTTAACTTATATGGTAGATAGCTGCGAATTCTCGGATAACAAACTGTTCTACATTTTGGTTTTGAATTTTTGTTCTGAAGGCTTTTAATGCAGAATCGATAACACCGTCGTTTACCTAAAAAAAAACTGCAAACTCAGAACAACAAATAACAATAACTAAATAACAGTCAGTTAAATAAATAACAACGTTAAATTAACTAAGTAATAACAGTTAATTAACTTAATAATAACATTTAATTATAAGAGTTTTGATAACTGTCAAACAGATTACAAATAAAAAAATAAAAACGTTTTGTAAAGACTTTTATGACCTCTAATTTTTTTAACTTACCTCTACCTCTGATGACCTTCTTTTTTTTTGGTGTTGCAGTTGTAAAAACAAATGGGGGTTTTGTTTCGGCTTCAGTTGTAGGGGCGACAGTTTGCGAAGGCATATTTTTTGAATTAGTTGCAGACAACAGTTCGGCTACTGGATCTTCTAAACTTTCATTTAATAATTCTTCTTCCGTTTTGTTTGAATCTGAGTTATCATTATCTTCATTTTCGTCTCCAAAGTCTTCGTCACGATATCTTGATCTAAGTAGATCGGCAAGATCTTCTTCATTTTCGTCTTCATTTAGATCATTTTTATGCCGATATGCTAAAATAAATCAAAGTTAACAAGAATTTCAAAGTTAAAGTTCAAAAAAGAAAGGATATATAAAAATAATATAAAGTATATAAATTATAAAATATATATAAAAATAGAATATAGACAAAGTTATAAAAATTAGCGTTTTCTTACAAAACATTTAAAACTAAAATACTAACCAAATACTAAAGGTGCAAGAAGGCAGAAAAGCAGAACAGCTTTCATTTTTTATACTATGATTTAAAAATATTATTAAATTTAAGATTGGTTCAAAAAAAGTTACAGACTTTAGATATATGTGTTTATATATATATATATATATGTATATATATATATATATATATATATATATATATATATATATATATATATATATACATATATATATATATATATATATATATATATATATATATATATATATATATATATATATATATATATATATATATATATATATATATATATATATATATATATATATATATATATATATATATATATATATATATACATTCAATTTAATTTCAAAAATAAAAAATATTAACTTGTTGTTCTAAAATTTGTTATTCCTGACAGAGAGAGTTATTTAAAAATGTTAATTGTTTTTTATTTAATTCATTTTTTAAACTTTGATTTTATTTACCTCGCTTTAATGTCCTGAATTCTTTCTTAAGTCTTTAGCTTTTGAAAATTGATAAGTTTCTTTTTATACGTGTGTCAAGAGATCTTATGTGTGTCAACATTTCGTTTCGAAAGTAACTACTTTCCAGACTCCTTTCCGGGATTTTATTTTTGTACTGATTACTTAATGTGGAAATTTTCTGCAAATTACAAATTAAACTTGGTTACGACAGAGTTCTGTTTTTTTATTTCACATGACAGTTTAAATAAATAAAGAAATCGGATCCTTATTTATGATTTGCAAGTATTAACAACACCATTAATTTTACAAAGTTAAATTTTGTGTTTCTATTTTTCAATGTTTTTTTATGCAATTTTAGAAATTTCTCTAGATTAATAGATTCTAAGTGTCTTGTAATCGAAAGTTTATTTTCAGTCAAAGAGTTATTAACTTTAGTGATATTTAAATGGTACATTATATATATGTTAATATAGTTATATAAAATATAGTTATATAAAATATGGTTATAAATATTTTAGAACAAACTAATGGCTCTATAGCAATAGTTAAACAGTTTGTTTTTTTTTGCCAATAATTCTTTTAATAAAATATTTCATGTTTAAAAATAGTGCTTGTGATCCATAAAAATATTTTAGACATTTTATATATTTTTTAATTATTTTTTAAATTATGTTTTTATATTTACTTTATTTTAAGCAGAATTGTGAGTGAAGTTTTATAGAAAATGAGTTTTATAATTATAAATTATGAATTTTAAAAATTTGTTTTTAAAAGCATTTTAGTTTGAAAATAAAAAATAAAAATTTATAAGCAACAATAAAAAATGATATAAAAAAGAGCAAACAATTGATTTATAAATAAAAGTGGCGCCATGACTAAGCAGCTTACGGAACAATATTCATAAACTTTTAGTTTTAAGAAAACCGTGAGGTTTATAGTTTACAAACGTGTTAATATTTTATTACAAATGAGAGTGAATTCTGATAATTTATTAAACAATCGTTAAAAGGGTAATATTTTCTTTTTTTTACTTTAAGATTTTCAGACCTAATAAATTGAATAATGAGCTTTAAATTAGGTCTGAAGTTCATTTTATCTACTAAACCTAAAAGTATATAAGTTATTAAAGTATAAAAAACTAATAGTACAAAAATTATTGTGGACTGATGTGGATTTAAAAACGTGGGCGTACGTAAATATTCATATTAGTGGGACTTGTGATGTTGATGTAAGAATTGATCATTTTATTATGACGTAATCATACTAGGGGGAATGACGTAAGAATTATATTTAAACTTAGTATAAGAGTTATAGTGGGTAGATTAACGTGAAAAAATTTATAAAAATGATTATAGTGTAAATATAAAATAAGTATAAAAATAATACTTCAAACTTTATTAGCTTTATATACCCTGTGGTTTTATTTGCTTTTAAATAATTTTAAATTATTACTGAAATTACGAGCTTTAAAAACCTTTTGTATGTATAAAAGCGTATGAACGCGTTTTGCGCAAACAATTTACGTGTAAGTATTTTTTTTTTTTATAGCCAAATATTATTTGAAATAAAAAACATGTTTTTAATTATACAAATGTACATTTTATTATACAAATGTACATTTGTATGCAAAACATTTGTAAAACAATTCTCTAGAAATCGCATCAACTTTATTGCTTATAAATATAAACCATTAAACTTTGAGTTACTTGCAAACCACAAGCAATTTACTGGTAGAAGATATTATCAAATCAATTTAAACGAATAAGATACATTTAAATTTATTGTTGAACACAGATCATTAAATGATCAAAATTGATACTTTACTGTCTGTTACTACAGCAAGTTTGAATATACCGTACCTTACTTCCCGCATCAAAAATTAATTTTTTTGAATTATTTTTAATTTTTAATAAAACAGCATCCTGTATACCACTACTTTCATTACCAAAAAAGTTAAATCACCTACCATTCCTTTTTAGTCAGTTTTGTTAGCTTTTAAGGTTATCAATTTCTGAAATTTACCTAGAAACGTTTTTACCCTTCAAAACGCTAAAAAGTAAGACATATGAGTCATTAAATTTCAGTAGCAATTCAGCTGTAATGCATTTTAACAATCACAGAAATTGAATCCTTGGCAGCTAAAAAAATTTTGGATTGACAGGGTTTATGGGTTCATTCAAAAAAGTAAATAATTTTTTTTTAATATTTTGATTTAGATAAAATGAAGTATTTAAATAAAATCATAAAATTTAATTGAAAACAGACGAAAAAAAGGCAAACTGGCTCAAAGCATTTTGAAATATGATTAATTTTTCTAATTTAGTGACGCATTTTTTACCATTATGGATCAACCAAATTTAATTTTTTTTAAATTTAAATTTCATTCTCTCCAAGAAACTATTTAATCATTTAAAAATAGTAGATTACTTTTTATTTCTCAAAGAAATTGTTTCTTTTTTTATATGACTACCAAATTAAACTTCAGATGTAAGGTAATAATTATTATTACTTGTTTAAATTTTTTGTTTTTGGTGCACTAAGAAGACGGTTTTGCTTCATTTGGAACAAGATTGGAAGAGCATTAAACTAAGAAGTTTACGCTCCCTTTTAGAACTAAAGCTTACTTGGTTTACTTCAGAACTTTGCTTACTCGGTTTGCTTCAAAATGTTTTACGCTACCAATTGCGCGAAATATGCTCAGTGATCGCTTCAACCCTGAATCTTTTGCTTATAAAACAAACGCTTTAACCAGGCTCCACAGCCGCCTAAAAAACGAAAAAAAAACTCTGTTGAAACCAAGTTTAATTTTTTAATTGCAAAAGGTTTCCACATTTAATTGTTGCAAAAGCCATATCCCGGGAAGGGAGTTACTTTCGAAACGAAATATTGACAGATATAAGATCTCTTGACATTTGTATAAATTAATACTAGCTTAAACGTTAGCTTGCAATAACGGGTGGTTACTAAAAATCCAGACTTACTTTCAAGGGCAATTACTCCCGTAGTTTTTAAGGTAGAAATTAAATAAAAATATCATCAAATAGAGTTTTTAGTTATTTATTTTAATATAGTTTGTTACCTCGTCTTAGAATTAACCGAATCTTCGGATTTAGCCAACTCTAAGACGAGGTGACCCAAAAAGTGAATGACTTGGAAATACCTTTGTCAGAAGCGGCTAGCCAGATGAGCCGGTTGTATTCAAACTTATGCTTTTTGCAATAATTAACTTTCGGTGGAGACATGTCTCTGTTGCAAGAGTACTATTTACTGTTTTAATTAATTGTCGAGTACGACAGCATGAAGTAAGTGTCGTCGTCAAGTATGACCAATTTTCCTTGAAAATCGCGATAAAGACGATTAATGCCGATTTTGATCCGCTTATTCTGGCTCTCTTAACAATCAGGTCCTTGTTTTGTATAAGTTTTGATGTTTGTGTACTTAGCAAGAGTTTTAATGATATATGAATGACTGCACCCAAATTTTCGACCGATAATGACATAAATAAAATTAAAGCTTTTCTAATAAACAAAAATATACTTTTAGAAAACAACCCTGAATCAAATATTAGCTTTTATAAGGATGGGGAAAGAACGGAAAATATAAGCTCTTATTATTACAGTTATTTATCTATTTATTTATTTATTATTTATTTGTCATTAAAAATAATAATACAATGCCGCGTTAAATAAAATCTACATGACCAGGGCTAAAAGAAGATAATATTTGGTTTTTCACTACACCCTGATTTGCCTAATCACTATACCCCGAAAGTGTTCAGTTCAAAAATTGCAACACTAACTGCTAACATAGATGATAATGCACTATCTATCCTGCATCTAAATATAAGGAGTAAAGAAAAAAGTTTTGATAAACTTAAGGAAATTTCAAAATAAATTTTCTAATTATATGCCTAACAGAAACATGGTGCCCTAATAAAGAAATTGAAAATAACTTTAACTTTCAAATTAATAATTATAAAGATATTTACCAAATAAGACGATCTGAAGCAGGAGATCATAAAATGAGGATATATGCAATTTTTTGCCAACTAGAAGCATCAAAATAAAAATAAAAAAGGTTCTCAATGTTTGCAATTTGCCAACTATAGTTCAAAACTTGCTCAATATGCTAACTCAAATGCTTAAATGCTGGGGGGTGGGGGGAGGAGGATACCCATACACCCCCCTCCTTCCTCCTTCAGGACTGTCCTGTTCAAACAACTTTCCAGTGTTTATAATTTCATAAAAAAACATTAATAAAATATCAGGAAAAAATAAAATTAAAAAGCGAATAATTAATGATTCATACATCAATACTTTTATAAATCTGTTATCCAGATTTATAAAAGTTGGGATACTATTTTAAAAATTAAAAAAGCAGAGGAAGCTTATGATAGCCACTATAAAAGTTTTAAAGCCACTATAATGAAGCTTTTCTGAATATAAGTAAGTTTATAAAAAGCAAATTCCAGCAAAATCTTTGGATAACAACGGAAATAATAAAGTCATCAAAAAAAAAAAAAAAACGCTTATATAAAAAGTTTATTAAAAAAAGAAATTATGAAAACGAAACAAAATATAAAAACTACTAACGGCTCTTTGAAACAGTTATAAAGTATTCAAAAAGGCAGTATTATACTAATCAGTTACTTAACTACAATAATGATGTACAACAAATGTGGCGCATAATGAAAGAGGTAATACCCAGTGGGCACAAGAACGTTTTGAGAACGTTTTTTAATGGTCCAGTAAAAACGTTTTTTAATGGTTTTTTAAACGTCCATATGAAACGGTGAACGGACGTTTTTTTAAAAACGTTTTGAGAACGTTTTTTAATGGATCTACAAAAACGTTTTTACATCTAGTAGAAACGTTTTGTCATTTTTAACATTTTTCCATTAACCTTTTCTTTAAGTATTAGTTATTTAAGTAAATAACATATGTTGTACAGAAAAAAAACTTTTTCACAAATGAAAATTTAGGTCTAACAGTCTAGATCCGGATAAATAACTAAAAGTTTTAACATTTTGTATTTATTTACAATTTAAGCATACAAAAACATAATAAAGTAGTTTTTTTTGCTATTCTACTAAGCTATTTATTTTATTATTCTCTTTAAATAACC